TCTCTTGCAATTATTATTGCATCAATCTCTCAATAATCAACCATTATACCCGGAAAGGATTGGACCCTACCCAACCCGACCCGTTACTCGGCCTACATTTCCCAAATTGAAATGATACTTCCAAATCGAACCGGCTCTACTCTTGGACAAAACACATTGTCACCCCCTTCCACTTTTCCACTTTCACACGCACAGTAAAAACTCCTATCGAAACCGAAGAAACTCCTCTCATCAAGTTTCTCTTTTTATTGAACGTTTTTAGATGGCGATCGTTTATTTCTATTCCGATTAACTTAAAAAACCCGTCGCTCGGAACGATCGGCATTTAATCTGTCATCATGTTCGAGGCACATGTAAGAATTTTTATTTATTTATTTTAATTTCTTTACGCGCAGATTCAAATAAAGAGTTACGAATTGCTGGCACTGACTACGTGAAAATTTATTTCTTTTTGTTTGATTATGAATTTTAAAATTATTATTTTGTATGGAATTGTAGTGCATTTAGCTATTAGTAACTGTTTCAGTTTAATATACTGAATTATGATATATTGATGGAAAAAAAGGAAGCTAGATGATGACAGCGACAACTTTGCTTATAATTTGGTAAGTAGTACGAATTTTGTAAGTTAAGATGAAATGACGCCGACAATTGGCCAAATTTCTTAACTTTAAAGGTGGAGATTGTTTTTTGAAATTTGATCATGAAATTGCGTTATTCATAGCCTTTTGATTTGGATTATTTCTAGAAATTTTATGGAAAAGAGTAAGAAACATATTATTAATCATTTTGTTGTGAATTTTGTGACAAGTTCTGAACATAAGTTGACATAGAAGAATTTTATTGATCTGAATACAGAAAAGGGCTATCTAATGGAAGTTTGATGAAGAGCCTTGAAATAAATAAACAGCCCTGACCAAAATCCCATGCTGCCATTATAGGAAAAATAAAATCTCGATAGACCACACACACACATATTTTTTGGAATTAACGAGTATTAATCTAACTTTAACCTAGTTACTCTCGAAAGCTCATGTAGTGCCTGTTATACTGGTGGATTGATGATCCCTATCAAATCTCTGTCATATGATGCATTCAAATAGTAAAAGGAAAAGAACAGCTCCTGATGCTATTTTAGATGCGAATACATTTCATATGCAGTCTAGTACTTATGCTATCACATGGCAAGCTTATGTAGTAATTTCTGCCCTGGGTTAGGAACTGGTATCCCACTCTTGATACTAGTAATTTCTTAATTTCTTGAGATACCATTGTTTAACACATCCTGAGAAAGCTTGCACATCTTTTCCTTCAGTTGTCTAGTTGTCATGAAAGAAGCTTGTGTGAATTGGTTATCTTTAAAGTATGTAAATTAAGCTGGTTTTTGACTAATGTTATTGTAGGTTTTGCATTTGCTTCGAAGATATTTGGGCGAATATGTCCATGGACTGTCTTCTGAGGCCTTGAGAATTAGTGTTTGGAAAGGTTTGTATTGGCCTTCTCGTTTATTTTTTAAACTCTTATGATTTGTTTACTTCATCCTATGCATTAATCCCACTGTTTATTGGTTTTTTCATAACTACACCTACAATTTCCACTCTAGCTTTATACCTCTGATTTATTCAACTCCATTCTTCAAACTTGAAAATTTAAATTAGAGTTCTTTCTTCTACAAAATCTACATTTTGAAAGATTGGACATATGAATAAAAGGTTCCTATTTTATGATCGACGAGGTGATTTTTCTTTTGTGGAGAAGTGGATGTTTGAATTTTTTGATGTATCATGTATACATGCCTCCTCTATTCCCCACCTTCATTTCCGAAACAGTTGAGGCGCTTCCACTAACCTTTGTTTTACCTTTAAAAAGAGATTTTGCATTAGCGCATAACTCTGTGTCTGTATTTGCAGGTATCTAGCCTACGTCTTAATATGTATATATAACCCTTGGTAACAAATGTTCAAAGAACGGAAACTGCACAAAATTTTAGGAGAGAGGTTCCACTAATGTCTGTTTAATTTTTCAAGTTTCTGTTCTTCTGTTGCCATTTGTTGGCGCCATTACAAATCGCACACGAGAACAAAAAAAAAATAACTTTAGAAATGAAACAATTTTATAGAAAAAAAGTTGGAGTAGGTTTTTGAGGAGGAGTAAAATCAAATGAAGCAAGATTAGCTGCTTTTGTGGTGCTCTGGATTTTATATATTCTTTTAACTGAACGTAGCTTTAGATTGTGAGTATTATGTTAATAATGGTTTTGTCGGTCAAATTGCTTTTCTTGAAGGTGATGTTGTTCTCA